TTTTCAACTGGGTCATCTTTGGATGAAAAACTAGGTCAACACCGCCCCAAATATGGAAAAATGTATCTTGTTAACATTCTAGTGGTCACATTTCGACTCAATTATCATTCAAATTGGTCAGGATGCTTGTCTAGGTAAATTGCTTGGATGAGTTTGAAATCGCATGTGAAACTAAGTCAGCCGGAGCTAAAAATAGAAAAAAATTTTAGTTAACACTCTAGTTGTACTGTTTTGATCCAAGTATCCTGGAAATTGGTTGAAAGTTTGTTTTGATGATTTCTAGGTCAAGTTTGAATATGTGTCACCTGGGTAAAAAAACTAGGTCGCACTGCTCAAATATGGATAATCCTTGTTAACACTGTAGTGGTCACATTTTTGACTCACTCGTCATGAGACTTGGTCAGAATGCTTGTCTAGGTAATTGTTTGGATGAGTTTGATAAGTCAGGGGAGCGATCTAGGGCCATCATGGCCCTCTTGTTATTGAAACGGAACACGCTCTTGTTTATTCTGTTCCAATTTGTTTTTTAAATGAAATATTTCACTTTAAAGTGCCATGTATATTTGTTTGTCAGTTTGTTTGTTTGTTTTTGTTTTTTTTTCGGAATTAGATTAATTGATTATAGGTTTTTATAAATATATTTCATGTAGTATTCAAGATAATCCCCTATTCCCGGCATTGTAATAAGAGTTCGGATACTAGATTTTTTTCAAGTCTTAAAAAGAATTGAAATACATAATTAATATATCATGCAGTTTGTGCAGACTTATTAAATACATTTTTTGTTTTGCCTGTATTTCTGAAGAAAGTAGTGTGAATGTGAAATTACTAAAATTGTTATTGTTGCAAAATTTTGACTTTCATACAAATAACTACATCATGATCACTGTACTTAATTGCCGAACATAAACAGAAGCAAACGATAGTTCAGGTTAATGATTGAGCAGTAACCAATGGAAATAATAATATAAAAAAGAAATAATAGATAAATAAATAAATAAATAAAAATCAAAAGTTTTAAAAAAAAAAGCATTTTTACGGCTTAACCGGCCTTTATGAAAGGACTTTTGCGCGATAGAAACAATTATAACTGCTTTCTTAAGAAACGCCAAACTTATGTTTATAGTACTGTACATTAAAAGCTAGCTTTCACGATAAAGTCAATGATTTCTTTCAAGTTTGTACATATATAATACTAAAAGTGCACCGAATTGTTCTAGTATAACGTGTGACGCACATTTTTGCTCATTTTCCGAGGAATTCTGACTAGTTCTGTTCTTTCTCCTTGTTTGAAAGAAATGTTTATTACTCTTCCAGATTTTTTCCGCCTTTTTGATTGGATATTGATCCCCCAAAGAAAATTTAATTACCGGCCCGACGGGTAATATACACCTCATTTCCCCTTTGGGGCCCCAGTTTTAAAACAAAATGCGTGTGTCGTGCGCGTACGTTTATTTTTCGAGATGTAAAATTTCCATTTTTCAAGATTTTTACTGTCAAAAGATAAAAATATAGCAAATGATAATATACATATTTCATCAGTATTGAAACAAAATACCCTTTGAAAACTGATTTAATTCCAAAAAGTTTCGTTCAACAGATATCCCCTTTTCTCTTGCTTACATTCGTTAGGTTGAAAAAAAATACGTATGTATTTATGTGCGTTGTAGTGATGAGGGGTACCCTAAAGGGGAAACTTATTTCGGGCGTTTATTTGGTAGCAATTAAAAGATTTATTTTAAAAAACGTCTAAAACCCCGGAGGGGAAGGGGGAATAAAAATTTTTTTTGGTTTTGGAGTGATATATGTGGAATATATCCACATATATCATTCCAAAACCAAAATAACATATAATATAATAAATCTTATAGATTTACTTTTTTGTAGTTGTTGTTTTGATGTTTTTTGTTTTTTTGTTTTTTTCGGAAAGCGGATTATTTTTTTCCAAAAATATATACAATGTATACGTATATCTCATGTAGTAGTAAGGCAATGTAAATGGTGAGATTCAATAAAAAATAACTTAACAAAGAACTGAAATATATGTTTTAGTAAAGTGTAATGAATTTACTTTCTAGACATTCATCATGTTCAAAACATTCTTTTATTCCACCAGTCTATCATCTATACCTTCCACTTTGTCTTTTTCCCTATCTTTTACAATATATTAAATATTTATTGTTTGGACCCTTGCAAAAGATATCTGGATCGACATATGATACATACATGCTTCCTTAACTAAAATATTATCGGCAATGAAACATTTCAGACAACCAATGTTATGTCCGATTAATACTACAGTTACATTGTGTGAAAAAGAACATTTGATAATACCTTTATTGAAGCCAAATGTGGCTGTCCTTCTCAGGCAATCTTATTTTAGTGAGTTGCGCTGTTCGAAGATCGTTCGAACGTCTTCCGCCTCATCTAAAATTGAAACGTATCCTCGATTACCGTCTATTGCGAACCTATATTAAATACACTTAATTAAATTTCGGTCGTATTGTCGAAATATTTAATATGTTTAACAAAAAATTATCAGCGTTGCAGTTCTTGTACTACCACGACACGTTTTAAGAATTTTAGTTTCATAACGAATGCTTAAGGCTTGAATCGTGATAAAACATTGTATTTCTAACACTTCCGTTATCTGTTTCTTTTAATTTTTGGCGAACCTGACTATGTGTTTGGTTAAGCAATTATGAAATATATTAAAAGCTCAGATATAGAACGAGTCAAAGATTTTTAAATGAGCGGCCCATGCTTACTAAGGATTTTTCTCAAACATGTAATAAATATTTAAATGTATTTGTCATTTATATTAATGCAATTTCAATTTAACTTGTAGACATTTTTTGAGCGCTATAGCCTTATCGGTGTATGTGGCCCCGATCGAACTTTCCGCGTTAAATATTCATATTAAAACGATAATAACTAACACTATAGTATGTATACCTGTTATTCTGAACAGCTTGATTTAACCCACCTTTGTCCTAGTTTACAGTAAACTTAACCGATGATAGCATTCTAAAACTGAAATATTTCGTGCATTTCAATACACTCAGGGTACAGGGTATCAATATCTTTAAAATGAAGAAGTATATGTCTGTTTTAAGCATTTTATACACAACGTTAAAAATGTCTTTGCTCATAATGACATAATACAATATAGTACTGAATGTACTCCGTCTGAGCATCACTGGCCTTGAATGTTTTATCTTTATAGCAGGTATAAATATTGCACATGCGCCTTAGAGACAGATAACGTCATTGCGGAAATTTCAGTAATCGGTAAAATCGAACGTGCTATTTGAATTACGTATTTAATTGTTCTGTTACAATTTTTGTTGAATGCTTGTATAAATTATAAACAATTGTTATAAGTTTAAACTGCAAAATGTTTTTATTTGTAAAATGGCTGCTTGATTTGGATAAAATGATCCGTGACCTTCACAATAGAAATTCCTCTGAAAAATAGGTAAGTTGATTATTTAAGAATCCTTGGGTTTAAAGCGACATGTTTAATATTAAAAATAAAAAACATACATTACATTCAAGATTAAAATACTGTTTCTTTTGATTGAAACCATTAATTTATTAAAATTATGAAAATAGCCACTTGTGCAATTATTCAACTTTGATATTCTTCCGCATCGGTTTCAAGAAAAACTAGGTTTATGAATAATTCTTACTCTATGATTAGGTGTGCATACAGTTTGAATTGTTGATTGATTCACCTAGTAATGTGCCCATCTCATGAAACCAAATATCATTTTTTACTGAGCAAATAAATTCATAACCCATTTTACAATTTAAGCAGACGACATTTTTAGCTTTAACTAAAAAGAAACTTTTTCATCTTTCTATCAATTGATTGTCACTGAGTCTCTATCATTTGTCGGTCAATGTTCATATACAAATATCATAGTTACTAAGTCAATTTGTTTTAAAAAGAAGCATTGTTTCACTTTCATAATGGTGCTTTAAATGTAGAAAATAAAAGATAAATCTATACAACTCATATTCATTCAGCTTAAACTTATACAATCGTAACTGTAATATTTGAAATAGTGTATACCTGTTATTCGGTTTTACTCTTTTAACAGCTTAATACAACACAAGTTTGTTCTATTTAAGTTCACACTCAACTTCATCCATCATTGCACACTAAACCCGAACTATTTCGTGTATTTAGATTAACTTAAGGTATGAATATTTTTATGATAATATGAGGTCATCATGGTTGTTTGAGTAAAATACTGAATTATATTGTATGAGTGCACACTGTTAAAATATATTTGATGACGTGCCATAGGTTTTGCAGCTGTTTACGACTCAAATAGAATCTGTTTTTAAATAATTTATGTATAATGACCTCTTTATTTCACACTACCGGTTTTTGTATTTTGACAGCGCTTTTGTTACTTCAATAAAAGTTAAGGATTTGATACGGATTTTGACTCTCAAAAATAAAAATGAGGCTAGATGGGTTGTAATTTGGATTTGATATTGAACTTTTGTGCTCTAGACTCATTGGTAATATGAACAAAAATATATTTAATATGTATTCTTTTAAAGCTTTTTGCGCAAACACATTGATAAACCAGTACTTAAATATTTCGTTAAGACTTTGGTTATGATATATCTATATATCAAACAAAGCAAAGCAAGTGACATGGGTTCCTTTTAATCCTAAACATTTGGTTATGTAAAATCAATGTCTTATTGTATTTTCTAGAGTCCTTACAGTACTACCGCATTTCTTTTTGAAGTATGAAAAGCAACAACAAAAACAAAAACAAAAAGCAATTACATATGGCATCAATATGAAATATAATTTCCATATAAACTAGCATTTTTTTGCCTATTTTCTGTAACTCTAATACAGAACCATCCAGTAGGTTTCGTTTCTATGTATTTATTATTCTTTTTCTTAATATAAAATACAAATGCAGATTTTCTATATTTTAACTTTTACTAAACAAGTGTTACATTGCATGAATAGTAAATTACACAAAATGAATAAACAAATACCGATAGAAGCTCGAATTCGCTATTCCTTTCATTATCTGTTGACATAAATATTGACAAAAAGGAATGTCGATAAATCTTATATAAAAGCATACTTTCTATCGCCTAAATCTTTAACTACCTTAACAATTACTCAGTTTTAACCGTTCAGCGTTATAGCGTAGTCGTTGAGTGTTGGCTTCGTCAGTGTAGAGACCGTGGTTCTATTCTTGGAAAAGGTTTTTTTTCTTTTCTTTTCTTTTTTGTTTTTAGATATTTTTCAAAGAACTTGCTTTTAGTTTCTCGTGAATTTACTTCACACAATACTATTTGAGAACATTTAGTTTAACACACAATCGCTTTAACAAGTAAAGTTAGAAGCAACACAATAGTATTTATAGTAATAAATGTGGAATGGAAAAAATTTAAATATATCAACATACTAATGAGCCGAAATTGTAATAAAAATGTCGCAAAACTGAATTCAGAAATTTAAATAGAATTAAATTGACAATACTTTTCAATCTGTTTGATGACTGTTAAAATCAATTTTATACATTCAATTTTGCTAAATCGTTATAAGTTTACCTTTAAATTGTACAAAATATTAAATTAATCACAGGTTTATAAAAGAGAATATGAAAATGTTTTATGAAAGTAAAACCCATGCAAAAATATTGCACAATTCCAGATTTATACTCGAAAAAAGCATTTTCTTAACATGAACCTTTCATACATGTCATAATCTGAACTCTCTAACCACTACGCTACTCGGATTTATGTTTCTATATTCAATTCAATTCTTCATTTTTGTAGTAAAAGTGCAAAAAGTAATAACTGAATAACTTGCACAACCCATTTTATCATAATGGTTTGGCCGATTAATGTAAACGTTATCGTGTTCGACTTATGAAACAGATTATGTCTTCATTATTGCGTTGCATTTAAACAGATGTCTAAATAATCCAGTTTAATGAATTTACCGACCGTCAATCTGTGTTTTTGCGACTGCTATTCAAAGAACAACAAAGACGCCGCTGTCTTATAAACTAATTGAACACATCGAGCTATTTACTCGTTCACCTGCTGTGTATTAATGTATATGTAAGTAAATTTACACGATCGATGTGACGTTGCGTGTAGTTATTGACAAATATGGTGGGTGTAAACTGATTATAAAGTGGACAGTGTCGTATAAATTATGCTCAGTTATTTACGATGTCGAATATGTACATCGGCGACTGTAAATCAAGTCTCATAAATGTGTTAATGTTGTCAATTATCGGCATTAAATTTCTGTGTTCCGCCAATTTAGTTAAGTCACAGGGATATATGAACACATTTAAAATTAGTCTTTTTATATTATTAACAAGGGATTCAAGTTGTTGCATAATCAGCACCGTTCGTAAAATGCATGCACTCATATAAACATATCATCCATGCTATCAAAGTTGTTGAAGTAGTTTATATATGAACTATTCATTACCCCCAAATATTTTTCTACAATTTATCCATAAAAACTATTGTAGTTATAACTAACGTTAACATTTCAATTTTTTCTTTGGCTGTCAAGAAATCGCCCATTTATGCAGGTGCGTTTATGTTGCAAGTATTTTCATTGGCTGATGGAAAACCATTATTCGGTGCGGTTATACGCCGTTGTTATCCGGCTTATATTATTATCCATTAACCAATGAAACTTACAGCCACAAATAGAAGTTAGGTTTACGCATGGCACAAACGGGCAACATACAAAATGGAAGCCGAGAAAAGACATTATCAAAACAAACAAAGAATGGTTAGAATAATTCGTACCAAATGTTAATGATTGCATCATTGTTGGTTGCGGGTGATGGATATTTAACCGGTTTCATTATTACTTTACATTACATAAGTTTCTCATATGAGCATACATTTGCATAAGATATTGTTTTACATGTGTAATATTTTACGAACGTGTGTACAAATTAAAGACGAAAGGTTAATTCTTTCCAATATATCAAAGTGGGACATTTTTTTAAATAATCGATAAGAGTCCAACAGTCAAAGGAAAAAAAACTGTCGTTTTCTGCGTCTTGTTTACTTCTTAATTCCTTTTTCAAATTAGAGTTGTATCCCTTGTTATATATATCTAAAGGAAAAAGTATAAAAAAAAATTCAGAAACCCCTGCGGTTAATGTTCCGCCCGAAGTTGGCAAGCTCTGTGTGCTACTTACAAATCTGTACATGCGGTAAGAAATAAACGCGGCGAGGAAGACTTCGTTTTGATGTTCAGGTGACTTATTCGTTTAAATGGCCCGCTTTTTAACTAGAGCCATTCTTTAAGCTCCGGAGAAACTGATAATGTTTACCTCAGAACATTGATTTATAAAATTCTGTAATGTTATTCTACAAATAAAGTCTAGCCACTTGGACAGTAACTGTTCAGTTTAATTAGATGACTACACTTATAAAATATGATAAACAAGATCAACAAGGCAAGGCGGCGTTCAATGAACGCAAGCACATAAAAGTAATAGGAAATATAATTTTTTCTGCGTTTGAACGCAATGAATTAGAAGATAATTATTTCCCCCTGCTTCGTTGTAATTGTTTGCAATTGGTGGCACTGTGTAGAGCACGAGTTTCTCGGGTATAATGTACAACGTGGTCATTCAGCGCTAGGACAGCCGACGATAATGAGTGAAGAAAATTCTAATTTTAATATCTAACTAATCGTAAGATATGCAGTTGCGCCAAGTTATTTAGATTTTCTTTACATTACATATGTTTATGTTGTCCATGCTGTTGGAAATGAAGATGATAACGCTTATCTTTTGACGTTACATTTGTATTCTATAAATGTTTGTACTTTAAGTAAAAGTATTGTGAAACAGTCTGCATATCCAAAGTCGCTTACAACAAATTAAACAATTTGAAATGTTTATGTTCGTTTCTCTCATTTTGTCACTTTGCAAACAGTTTGCAATGATCTAGGGGGACTTTATTTTAGTAAATCTAGGGATCATTTTGGACACCTTGAACATGATGTAAAGCAAAAGTTTTAAATATCAAATATCCATTATCTTAGTAATAGCGATTTACAAATGAACATTTAAATATGCTTCCATTTAATTATGATTTTTTAACAACTTACTGACCCCTAATCAGTGTTGATCCCAGTGAAACAATTTATCTAATTTCTGTACACTTTCACGATAAAATGCTACATGTCAAGTATAAGTACTAGGCATTGTATTTTTTCTACAGAATACTTAAATGTGTTTCTCATATATGTCTATATAAGTGTAATGCTCCCTCCCCCCGGTTAGGGGCTAATATTTTCATCAGGTATACGATTTACATGTTTTTTTTCTGTTTTTTTTTTTAAGTATACTTTGATACTGCATGTCAAATATCTAACCCTAGAAACTGAAGACATTATCAGAAGTTCGGTTTTAATGCTACCTTTTAGCTATGTTTTTGGTATCATACTAAGAATTTTTTGTAGAACTTTTATAGAGGTATACATATATATTAAATTTGAAAGACACCCGCCAACAAATAAAGGCTGCATGAGCACAATTGTAAATATCTATTGTCTTTATGTGGTGATCATTGACCTAACTGACCCCTAACCCCATCCAAAGGAAGAAGACTTATCAATTTTATGTTACTACCAATGATAAGATATCTGTCAATATTATAGGGTTTATTCTGCAAAAGTGTGAAAATCTATTTCTGACACTGGTGACCTTGACCCAAATGACCCTTAAACTCTTAACTAAATTCAAAGGAAGACCAACTCAATAGGCATGTTCGTTTTAAACATTAAATGCATTAATAAAAAATTATAGGCTGTAACAGCAAAAAAGTTTTAATTTATTTCTACACCAGTGACCCTTGACATTGAATGATCCCCTTACTCCACAAACAGTTAGATTATGCTTTAATTAATGTATCCACCTACCAAAGTGGAAGATTTCATTAAATAAATGAAGTAATAATAAGAAGAAATTTAAAGTGATTTAAAGGAAAATAAATGGCACAGTCATCTTACTTTGAAATATCATGTACATGCACTTTGTATTGAAAAGTAGGTGTGGAAATTATGAAGCCATTAGTATAGTAGAACTTAAGATATATCAAACTTGTCGATTTAGGATAAACAAAATTATTCATTTTCAAAGTGCTTAAAAGGACAATAACTTGGAAAAAATGGAAGTTAGCCTAGATTTATGATTAGTTAGTGTGTTAATTCTCATGGCAATTGGTACAGGTAGAACTTAAGATGAAACCAACTTCCTGGTTTATGTTAAGCTTGTACGGACAAACGGATTAACAACGGACAGTTCAATTGCTATAATTATGTCCGGGTGCAAAAACTTCCTCTATTCTGTCCCTACTATTTAGTGTTGTATTTAATGAAGTGGTATAGCAATATTTCACAAACGCAGTCATGTTACTTTAATTTGGAAACATCTCAAACATTTTTAAGAATCTGTATAATATGCCACGAGAGTGCATTCATTGTATTGAAAAACGACAAAATGTTTAGTTCCTGAATTAATGTAGCTAACTATATGCAGTGTTTTATCTGGTAGACGGTTTGATGGACCATGGAAGACAAATTTTGAATGTGCATTTTCTACATAGAGAAACAATTTTACGTGGCTACTATGATAGCTGTACTTATGAATACATTTAGATACTACCTAGTTCGATAACTCTTAAGGATTTTTTTAATTCTAAAATAAATGTATTTACCATGTTTTTAATGAATAAAATGAAATATATGTAATAATGGTTTACAGCAAAATAATAAAAATTATCATTTTTCTTATTATAGCCATGGTTACAATAGACAACGAAAACTACCTTAGGATTATACTACTTTTGTTAGAGGGTAGTACCTATATTTGCAAAAAAGTCTTCAACCGAGAGCTCCTTAAGAATGGTGGCGATCTTGACCATTTGCTTAAGACGTGGAAAAACAAGTTGCAGCATGAGTTTCACAAAAGACAAATGGAAAAGTTTTTTCCAAATGGTGGATTTGACAAAACCGATATTCATAAATGGGATATTCAAATGATTATTGGTGTTATGCTTCTGCTGTTTAGATCAACATTGACTGATGAAGAAAAGCAAATCTTGAAGGATATCAAGTTCATAAGACATGAGGTTCTTGCTCACAGCTCATCTGCTTCCTTATGTGTTGAAAAATATGAAGACGTTCGAAAACAACTTGAAGATGCCATAAAACATTTAGCTGAGAGCTTTGATCAAAATGTAAAGATCAAATGCAATGGCTTCATTAAAGCTTTCACTACTGGCGTGTTAGATTTAAACTCTGCGATTCATAGATTACAAGAGGCAAAAGACACTGACGACTTGTTTCAAACTGTTTTAAGTGTTCTCAGAGAAACAAAAGATAGTTTAACAAAGGAAATACTAGATGTCAAGCAAGATGTGAGAAGTATAACAAAAGGGATAGAGAAAATAGAAGATGCAGAGTGTAATAACTTCAAAGCGTTGACAAATGTACAAAGCCAAATAGAAAGTGAGTCTTTTTTTCTAAGTATATTATAAACCGTAGATTGTATGGTATACAATGTTTTTCTATATTTTTGGATGGTTATATTGTTAAAGAATTGATTAAAACATATTTTACAAAGTAATTTAATGATTCTAAGATTGTAGCTTCCTTGAAAAAAGACAGATATACTTTTCCTTATTGTTTGTGTTATCATAATACAATCAAATAAATGATACAAAAATAAGATATTCATTTTCTTATCAAGTGTAATATAATGATTACATAATTAAAAGTAAGCTCTTTAATATTGACATTTTGTTTACAAAATATAAATGGAATCCATGAGAAAGAGGCAAAGAGTAAGATAATCTTGATTTCTGGGAATTCCAACAATGTGCATGACGACCCAAATTAAAATTAGGAGTTGCAGTAAATTAACCAGACTTATTTCAGCCTTACAGAAATGGTTGTATCAAAATTTCAAAGATCAAGGGAGCAGATCAAGTGACGGTAAGGAATAATTGTAGAATGTTTTTATTTTGGTTATAATTTCACAGATTGTAACATATTTTTTTCTGTTTCAGTGAAATATGGAAGATATTTTTACAAAATATTATACAGTTGTAGATATTTTCACAAGCGGGAATGGCTAGTGAAATAAATTGAATTTTGTCTTGTTATGTGAAAATATGTAATCTCCGCATTTCACATAAAATGAAAAAACAACAACTTTTGTTTAATTTTTCGTTCAAGAAAAGAACAATAAAAATTCCCATGTGCTACGCAGTTGCAATTGAATGACCCCAGGAATACATTGATTAAGTTAAATGCATGATTAATCACAGTCATCTTGATCTGTCTTAAAGAAAGAAATGGTTTCTGATAATGAAATGAAAAGCTGAAGATACAGACTGCACAAAAAAAACACATGAGAAAGTAGTCCCAAAATGTAAATATGACATACACGTTATAACTGAAATATTGGCCAAAACTAGATTTCAGTTGCAAATTGGGTTTTTCTTGTGTCGCTTCTACCGGAGTAGTGGCGACATACAGGGATCACTTATAAGTTGTTTTTCTATCAGTCCTTCCACAAAAACACAGAGGTACCTGTTTGACTAAGAGAACAATAGGAAACGGTACATTTGCTTTGATCCAATTCATTCCGTTTGCTCTTGTGTGTCTTTTAAGGCCCTGTTTGACTATAAAAGGACTAAAAAGATTAAATAAAAACACCATTTTGTAAGTACGTCCGTCTGTCATATAGATACTTAAGGGGCTATAGGAACAATAGGTAACAGTTAATGTCATTTGAAGCTATTTATTCAGTAAGCTCTTATCTGGCTACTTTTTCTCTTATAAGGCTAAAAGAGCAACAGAGAACCACCTAATAAAATACCAAACTTTGGGCACGTCTTTCTGTCAGTCACAAAACTTGTCTTGACTAATCCTTAAAAACTACTTCAGCAATTTTATCCACACTTTACAGGAATGATCAGTACTAAGTCTAGTTGAGCATATTTTCAGCATTTTCTTAATCAATATCTTTTGTCAAATTTAGGCCCTAAATAAGTCTTATCTTTTTTTAAGTTTGTCTTGACTGTTGTATATACCTGTCATTCAATTTCAATAAAACTTTACAGGATTTATTACAGGTCGACTAATTGGGCATTTTACACGGGTTTTCAGCTTGAAAGAGTTTTGGCGGAGTAATGACCCTTGAATAAAAGGGTGTTTTTTGTGTTTTGCAAGATACACAGAAGCTTGTAAAACAGAAAAATCTGTTCGGCTTTCAACTACTAGTGGGATTTCAACAAATCTTTACAGGAGTGTTCAGTACCATCCCTAGTTGTGCATATCACGGCATGATCCCTTTTACTGCATGAAATGCCCGCCGGAGCTATATACAATAAAAACTCTTGTTCGGCTTTTACAGGACAGGCTACTGGTGAGATTTCACGAGTGATCAATACTATATCTATCGCTGGCATGTTTTGCTTCGCTGAACAAAATGGCTGCCAGAGCTGAAATAGAAAATTCCTGCCCCGCTATCACAGATCAAACTGCTGGCGGGATTTCCGTCAAAATTCACAGGAGTGATCAGGATCATACATAGTATTGAGAGACATATGTTTTTGTGATAAAAACCCTTCTAGTTAACCAAAGGCTTATCTTCATACTTGGGAAAAAATGAAAATACTTTTTCAAAGGTTGAACTGGCTTTGAGCTTGAATTGACCTTTACCGTCACGGACAAATTATTGAATTTTGCTTAAAAATGTCATAATTTTGTTAAATTAAATCATTTACAGTAATATTTATATTTGGACCAAACAAGACTTGCTTCCGAACAAACATATTGAATATAATTAAAATGTGACCTTGACCTTTTTTACCTTGACTGTCAATGACAAATTAATGAACTTTTCTTTTTTATCTCACCTATTACAAAATAACAACGCGAGCTTTTGTGATCACAACTCTTCTTGAGTATGTCCGTTGTCTGTACAACCTCCGTTCGTTGTCTGTCCGTCCCTTAACTTTTACTTTAAAGCTGCATGCCTCCAGATGAGCCAAAATATTTCAAGACATTCAATTTTTAGAAAAATGTATTAAGATCTTAAGAAAGGTAAAAAGATTCAATATTTAGTTAATTCATGTTATGTGCGATTTATGACTGATTTTGCAGTATCAATCACTATAATTCGTCTGCGTTACTAACGCAGAAAGAGGTATTTATGCTTTTTTTGACCTCGTTTTGGTAATTAACGTAGATTGTAAGTGCCGTTTGCAATGTGTGAATTATTTTCTTTGGTCTTTTCACAGTATTTTACTTTCAAATACATTTTCAAAATTTTCGTGAACATAAGCATAAATCTGGAGGCATGTTGCTTTAAATTAAACGCTTTAAACGGCGTCTCCTCTTATGTCACTAAGCAAATTACATCCAAACTTCACAGAATGTTCCTGTGGTGGTCACCTTTATATTTCTTCCAAAGAATTTATTTCAATGCAGAAATAATAAAAAAATGTCCGGCCCCAGGGCCATTGAGTTTCCTTTAGTTATATGTATATAGTTCAATGTTAAAACATCTTCATTAAAAACACAAAAACAAAAGAGTTAGTGCTTAGATATTCAGTATGAAACATCTTAAAGCGGGTATTTAACAAGTTTGTTCAAATAAAAGCCCTTGGGTTTAAATAAGCCCCGCCCGAGGGGGTCATCGATTTTCCTTATACATTACGTAACCAGTAATGTTTTCACACATTCACTATTCGGGTACAAATATGAACTTTATGAGATTTAGATTTTATATCTGCTTTTGATAGTTAACAATATAACTTGTTCCTTGCCATGAAGAGTTTTTACATTTAGGTTTGAGATTTCAGGGCCATCATGACCCTCTTGTTTCTGTAACTCACTAAAAGATTTTAAGTGGAATAACTTCATATTAATGTCATCTTTAAGGTTAAGACCATCATGTATATCAAACTCAAAATGACAGTGACTCCTGTATGACTGACCTTTAAAATCAAATTATTTTATTTCACTGATTTTTGCTTTAATTGGCTACAACTTTTTAATAAATCAGTATAACGTGTGGTATTATAGTAACGCCCGGGGCGGGCGGTTAGTCAGGCAGACAGATGGCGTCCATTTTTGACTGCAGCATAACTCCTACATCTAAAGAGGGATCTTTATTACTTCATAGAAATTTTCACCACTTTGAGAATTGTTGTAACTAGGTCTCTACGTGAAAGGTCAATGTCACACTTAGACGTCATTGAAAAATGCTTGTACAAAGGAAATAGTCTACGTATAAAGAGGGATTTCAATATTACTTCGCACAAGGTTTCAATATAATTGTGAATTGGAGTGTTACGCGCAAAATTTAGGTCGTAGCGGACAGGGTCAAGGTCACACTATATGGGTTTGATTAAAAATATGAAAATGTGTATAGGGACCATTTAGTCATCAATTATTGACGGATCAGAACACAAGTGGTCATTATCATGACAACATCTTTGACAATTGTAGTTTATGTTAATATTTGCAAGGTTAAGATAACTAAATATGATGTAATATTCAGATTTTATCCAGTGCATATCTCTAACACGCATGCAGGGATTTTTATGAAACTTCATAGAAATGTGCACCACTATGAGAAGCTGTGTAGCGCGCATGAACCAGGTCTTTAGGTCATATGTCAAGGTTACACTTATATGTAATTCAAAAATGCTTGCCCAAAGCAAAACTTCTGCATGGAAAAAGGGATTTCAATATTACTTGGCACAAATGTTCACCATTGTATGGCTGTGATGCGCGTAAAATTCAGGTCCTAGCGGCTAAGGTCAATGTCACATTATTGTGGTCATACAAAAATATAGAAGTCATATTCTATTAAGGGGTTGTAACACAAAAAATGGTCATTATCATGAACATCTGTGACACTTAAAATTTAGGTCAATATATGGTCACTGAAGATGATCAAATATCAAGATGTTGTCGAGAGCAAATCTTCTACACGTTTGGGGGGATTTTTATTAAACGTTATCTAGAGGTAGTTGAAAAAGGCTTGTCCGGAGCAAAACTTCTACATGCATAAATCATTTTTTATATATAAACATTTACATTTTTAGCTCACCTGTCACAAAGTGAAAAGATGAGATTTTGTGATCACAATTCGTCCGCCCGTCCCTCGTCCGCAATTGCGTATTTGTTTTACCTTTAACAACATCTCCTAATAAACCACTAGGTCTAATTATCCAACCATCACAAAAATGTTCCTTTGGTTGGCACCTTTAAAAGTGTTTAAAGAATTGAGAATTATTGTTGCCTTACCAACTGTAAGAAAACACATTTAAACTTCTTTACAAAACCCAAAGAAATAGAGATAAGATATTTGGCATTAGCCATCTTCTACCGGGTGTCTACCAAACTAGTCAAAATAAGCCCAGCCCCGGGAGTAATTGATTTTCCTTATATGTATATATTAAAACCTTATTTTAAAATCCAAGGAGCTAGATTTTAGATATTAAACATCAAACACCTTCAATGGGTGTCTACCAAGTTTGTTCAAATATAACCTCGGAGTCAAAATTTGCCCAAGGGGGTTATTGATTTTCCTTATATGTAAATTATAAAATCTTTTTTTAAAAATCCTTTTAGCTAGAGCGTAGATATTTCGCATGAAACGTCTTCTAGTGAGTGTCTACAAAGTTTGATCAAATCAAAGCCCTGGCAAATTCATTGATTTTTCGTATACAATTTGTATGTAAACATCTTTTGGAACTACTGTTTCCCTTAGCAATAACAACCAGTATGTTTTTACACATGCTCTATTTCAGATACAAATATGAATTTGTGATATCAGTATAAGATTACAATTTTATATCTGCTTTTGTTTATAGTTTACAATATTACTATTTCCTTGGCCTGGAGAGTTCTATCTCCAGGTGAGCGATTTCAGGGTCATCATGGCTCTCTTTCTTGTTTATGGAAAGGATTCA